TGGTCGTATCTCGAAAAATTCGTAAGTAGGGGCGTTCGTAACTAGAGGTACCACTGTATAGTTTTGTACCAGTTACTTACCTTTTTCTAAACACAAACAAACAGAAATTTATTTATTTACTGCATTTATCTTTCACTAAAAGAGCTTTGTACTTAGATTATATTTTGTAATCTGCTCCTTTACCTTCTTAAAACTTAATTTTCTTGTTGCTGCACCTTGAAACTACTATTGCAGTATTTTAAATTGAAGGCATTAAACAGGAGCTCCAGGTAGTCTCAGATGGCATTGATCATCTTGATTTTTACAGTTTAGCATTCAGATAGAGCTTTGGGATGGAGAATATATTCATATCACTGGACTGTCTTTTTACCAGAGATAACTGATAGGGACCTGTCACTAACCTTACTGAAATGGGCCGTTGAATCCTATTGTATTATTTTGCAGTTCTTGTCTTTATGAACTCGAAGGTACTATTACATTGCTGCTGAATCCATGAAAATTGAGCTTCTTATTTTTCTAGTCTTGCCTATCCTATTTATTTTTGCATTAGTATGCAGCTACATTATAGTTTATTTCCTTATTATTACCGGTTCTATTTTCTCTCTGTATCCAATGGTATTGTATAGTAAAGAATCATTTTGATTCTTACAGAGAAGTGTTATTTAAATATCTGTAAACTGATGCTCTCTCAATGTATTCTAATTTCAGTTTTCACAGTTTTCTACTGTGAAACAATTTTTAACAATTTTCACATTTTCAACTACGAAACAAAGGGGTTGCTGCTCTGAAGTGAGTTTTTCTTTTAGTTTCTGTCCCTTGATTCCTACTTGTACATTTTAAACACACACACATACATGCACACAAGCACTGAAATTTTTTAATAAGCTATTTTATGGGTCACTTGGAGATTGTTATAAATACTTAAATTTAAAGAAATGTCTCCATGGCCAAGAAATCTGTGACTCATATGTTAGCAACAAACAGGTGGTTTTGGCAATAAAAGGCACTCATGCTTGTGAACACAATACATTTTTCCATTAAGCTGGTGCACATTCTTAATGTCTATATGCTTTACATGGAAACAATTGAATTGATAAGTAACCCAAATAAATGTACTCAAGTAGAGATCTTAACATATATTGCTTATGTTTTTAAAAAAGTAGTTCAGCACAGCTGTGGTTTTAATTTGAATAAAATCAGTTGTATTCCTGGAAGAATTTTGTCATCCTACTTTTTCCAAAAGAAAATTCATTCAGGAATAAAAAGGGTTAGTCTTAATGTGTTGGAAACATTTTCCTATTTAGTTAAGAAAAAAGATGATGGAATTAAAGCCTGGTGGGAATAAGTAGCTCGTTTTGTATATCTGTTTTAGAAAGAGAGAACTTATGTAAAATCACTTTGTAAAGGAAGCATAGATAATTCAGTTTGATTCAGTAGCTAGTAATATGGAAAAAGAAAGGAAAATATTCTTTCACTATGAAATATAATATCTAAACATAATATTGTACATCATTATTGAGATAATTTATTAAGTTTGTTTTCTATATTTGGATTCAAGAATAACTAAAATCCATAATATTAAAAAGGAAGGAATGAGCAGTAAACAAAATTAAGAAAAGTTGTGTTTTATTCCTGTCATTAAAGACTTGTTCTTTATTTTTCCATGAGTTCAGCTTAAGATTGGTGAGGAGAACCTGTTGAAAATTTCTTTGTGGTGCAGTTAAAATGATGATAGCAAGAGTAGTTGTGGTACTGACTGTGTGAAAGTCATTGTTAAAGTACAAAAGACAGAGAATGATTGCATATTATATAATTCCTGAGTTTATCCATGATTTTTTATTTGAATAAACTGTATTTATTTGCTTCTTATATATAAATACAATATATAAAACAATATAAATACTGTAAATTCTCTGCAATTTGAAATATTTTTATTCTGCCTTCCCAGTATAATTTGAATTACCTTTTTAAAATGTAAACTAAATTTACAATGATTTTTTTATTGATGATGTAGCACAGAAATATAATAAAAGGAAATATGTTGTTTTTTAAACATAGTTTGACAATTTAAAGCAGAACCAAATGGTTAATTATAAGACTGAGAAATTTATTGAAAACTTTCTCAACAGAGACTAAATTATTCATAGGTATTGCTGATTATCTATATTGCATTGCATTTGTAGTGATAAATCCTCTACCTCTGGTTGATGGTGTGGAATATTCAGTTGCTCATGGAACTAAACTGTTTTTATTAGTTGTTTATTTGGCTGGGACTAAAATTAAGCATATAAAACACCTAAAAACTGGGGTAGGCAAGCATGGGATAGGGAACTAAAAGAAGTAGACAACTGAGTAAGGAACCTGGGAAGAAAGACAAAACACACAAGGGCTCTTATGAAAGGATTCTTATGAAATAGGAAGATTTGAAGAAAATTCAGAATGCTTAAATCAGAAGAGACTACATACTACTAAGAGAAAAAAGAGTGAAATGACAATAATGTTATTCAAGAGAGAAAGGTAGTGACGTTATAATTTGTTTGACTTTGAGTCCTGTCAGTCCTGGCCAGCTTGAGCAGTAATCAAGCTTGCAAAGGCTGTGATACAGTAAATGAAGTGGAAGTTGAAGACAATTGGTAGCAACTACTTAATTGCTTGGCCCCAGTTACCACAGTCCAGTCATTGACCAGAAGAATCAGGTGCAGTGGGAGACTTGTAAATTATGGAGAAACAATAAAAAATAAGATGAGAACAATCAACTTATTGGTTCTAGAAATAGACTGGATTGCCTATCATTTATGGGAACGCAGCAGGCAGACATGATAAATTTAGATGGCTGTGGCTTGCAGACCAGGGAATACAAGTTGCCACACTGGCATTCAGGAGCAGAGGCTTGTGGCAGTTTCTATCAATGCAGTATTTTTGCAATTCTGAGAGAACAGCATAGGTCAAGATGCAGGAATGATTTTTAAACATAAGTTTGAACAAAGCATATTATTTTCTTGGAAATTTTTAGTTGGAATGCTGGAAACCAAGCATTTTAACAGTTCTAGCCAATGGCATTCATTGAAGAAAATGGACATGTGGTAGCAGAAGTACTTATGTTATCACTCTTCTTCACTGGGTAAAATCAGCAACAACAAACTTTCTTATAAAGAAATTGAGAAAGAATTAAGAATTAAGACTTGCATAGACTTTAATAAAATATGTTAATGTGTTAGGAACCAGATACTTCTTGGTTCACTTCTGAAACTGCATGTATAATAACAGTCCACTCAAAAAGAGTTACTGGTTGGAAAAATTTAAGCCTGAGTTTTGCACAAAGCTTTTGGGAGATACACATATTTACATGCTCACACATCCACATCTCCCATACATATACTTAAACCATTTTCAACCTCTCACAAAAAGAAGAGCATATCCTAATGAAGAACAGTAGAATTGCTGGATTTTTGCTGCTAAAATTACAGTGTTCTTTCTGGAATTAAAATGGAAATCAAGAACTTCTCTTTTTCTGCCAGTAAAGGAAATAAAAATTCCACTGGAAAAGAAAGCATGATGATTTTCAGCCTTTAATTGGGAAGAAATCTGTCACTTCCCTCTTTCTCCGGTTAGTGGCAGCTTCTGGATATCACATATTTGCCTCCTAGTTTTCTCCTTATGATTAACTCAAGAAAACAAAGTGAATGTGACAAATTGTGTACTCAACATACAGCAGTGTTCAAATTGGTTGAATCTTTTGTTTAGGTTATATTGCATAAGTATCTTAATACATCTCTAAGTTATACTTCTAGTGCCTGTAAGAAGTAAAGGAAACTTAAATAATAACTTACAATCCTAAAGTTAAATCAAGCAGGTTAAGTATTATTCTTTACCCATTCAGCTTGGAATTTCTTATAACATGCATGTTCAAATGTAGTACTAGTGATCATGCCATTCTGAAGAGGAGTAGTTATGTAGGGAGGAAAACTGAATTTGATTTAATATTTGAAATGGTATTCTATCATAGACAAAAACATTCAAAATTATTAGAAAAAGACTAGTCTTAGAATGGTTGAAAGTCAGGAAACAATATGTAGGTTAAAAAGCTTATTTGAATCCCCATTC